GAACACTGTTTCGAAGATGTTTTCTTTAACCAGGCTTTTAGCACATCCATTTTGATTTACATCCAAATGGGTGACAGACATCAATGCAGTATTATATGGGCAGAAAAAGGGAATGAAATGCTTTTAACATGAAAAATATGCTGTTGCATATAGGCCAACTTTTGTTCTCTTTCTCTCAATTTATCTAGGATTTGGGTGCGTTTAATTCTAGGGCCAAATTCAGTACTGGCATAAATGAGCACAACTCCATTAGTGTGAATCGAGTCTCAACGTTTATGTCAACAGTGAACTTAGATCATTGAATTTTTCCCATGTTTGGTCTTGCATGTTTCCTGCAAGATAATATACACATGTACTGCACATGTGCTGCACATATGCACATAAAAATTCACTGGGGAGGATGTCTGGCTTTATGCTTTTAGACTTTATGTATAGAAACTGCAATCAGCTTATGAATTTTTTGCTTCTCCTATAGCTAATGTGCCATGCATCTGTGAGGATCAGCCATGCAGAATGCCATGTTGCAAGTAAAATACCTAGTAGCAAAGGCAAGTGTGAAAATTGCTTTTCTCTCCTCAGTCTGCAGGACTGCACATGCACACAAATCCGTGTGATTAATTCGGAGAGATTTTTCTCCCCTCTGTTACCATGAAGTTGAACGCTGCCTTGAACAGAGGGGTACATAGAAATACTACAGATGCTCATCATTGGAGTGAATTGTAATATTTACTCGGCTGCAGGCCTCAAGTTTAGTGTATGCCATGAGATCTGCTTGCCTCTCAGTGCCTGAAGAATAGCAAGGCCAAGGCAGAGGTGTCTCATTCTCTGCAATGCTTCCTGCAGCGTTTGGGGTGTTGGTCTGGTCATCAGGTTTGAGAAAGATGAGAGTGTTGCACTTTCCCAGGATGACCATAGCTTAGGTGTCCTGAATATATAGACCAAGACCCAACTGCGTTGGGAGCACAAAGCTGACAGATGATCTCTACCGCAAACTCTTACCAAAAGGTTATTGGCCATCTGGAAGCCAGGTGTCCTCAACACCTGAGAAGCCCATGTTTGTGGGCACCATATACTTCCCTCCTATATTTAGAGGCAGTGATAATCTTTTCCTTTTTTGTTTGGTTTTTAGATTGAAAGGCCTTTGGTATATCCGAAGAGTGACTTTTCCAATGCGCCTTCTGCCCAACAAAATGGGATGTCCTTGTGTTCTCAGTATCAAAAGAGCTAAATAACATTTGTGGTGAGAAGCAGAGGACACTGGCCTATGGGACAGTATGAAATGGGATTGTTAGGAAGAAATTGGAAGAAAAGTAAGGTTCTGCTCACTTATAAAACTTGACCCTTCTCTGTGAACATCATCTTGTGAATAATTGGAAATCTGCATTCAGGCTTCCCCACTGTGTCCCATCCCTTGAGGACACACCCGCTGTATTGCTTTACACGGTGTGGCAATGCACAGCGAGATTTACATACATATCACATAAAAGTATTTACAAAAAAAATTAGCATGTGATTGAGCTGGGAAGCTGCAGAGGGCCCCAACTGTACGAGTTTCCATGCGCTTCAGCCAGAAGATTTATTTCCAATTTGTTATTCATAAGGGAAGAGCGAGAGATTGGGATGGGGTCCTTTGAAGTGGAAAACAAAGTCTTCTATTCAGCCTTCAGCTTAATAGAATACACATGACACAGGCTTGGCATGGCGGCCCGCTTTCATGTAATGTGCTCCTTGTCATTTTGCTTTCCTAGGCTGTGAATACTAGTGGGAATGGGTATTGCCCTGGAAAAGTCTCGTTATCTCCTGCTGCCTTCTGCAGGAGGAGCGCAGTGTAAGCAGGTACGAGCCATTTGGTGGTGGTGGTGGAGAAACCAGGTTGCAGTCGCATGGCCCATAATTCCCAGTTATATTTTATATTGAAAGAGGATTTGTAAGAAAAGCAGCATAATTGCAGGGCTTCTGCATGTGTTACACGGGCACTTCTGCCCTGTTTGGAGGCCCCAAGCAGGGAGCAGTGACCCACGGGCTCTGAGCCTGCCTCTGACAGCCATCTTCTGCGTGACCTGAGCTCTCACCGTTATCCCCCTGACTGGAGGTGACTGAGGGAAGGCTCTTCTGAATTTGTGCAGCATCTAGGATGGCGGAGCATGATCTAGGCACTGTATCACTGCAAATAACCAGCGACTCTGTCCAAAGTTGATGTTTTGGGGATAGGTGTATAAACCCAGTATTTCAAGAATGTGGCCCTGGTTTTACAGTGATGTTCTTACTACCTCTATCTACAAGCCTCTAATAGCTTGTGCTTTGTCCTGTGTTAGTAGTATTAAAACCATGCTCAGTGCAGCACGAAGGCAAGTGTTTTTGAAGAACTTACAAGCCCAGCTTACCACAAAGCCTGTCAACTAGTCGGTCCGTGGGCTATGAGAGAAAACATGTGTGACCTTCAGCACATCAGCTTGGCCCGCAGCGTGAGTGTGGTTAGAAAGAATTTGGACAAGAGTCCTGCCGGTCCTCTTGGCCCTGTGACATGCTCCTCTCGGCGTCCTCCGGGATGATGTCCTCGCACTCCGCTTCTATCTCGCTCTTCTGCACATTCAGGTTTGGAGCTCTGGGTGAATCACCAAAATCAGAGATGGAGAGAAATGCATGAAGTCATCTCATCCTGCCCTTGCCAACGCAGGATTATTCCCCACAGTACAGTCTTGAGTGCCTTCTCCAGTCTATTTTCAAATGACTCAAAGGAGAGGGCTTTCCTCTCCTCCCTGGGGAGGCTGGCTCTGCTGTTCAGTAGACTTCACTGTTGGGGAATTTTCTTCCTGTTCTCCAGCCTCAATTCTCCTTTTCCCTAATTTAATTGAACTGTTCCTGGCTCCACCCTTCTGAACAATTTTCCATATTGAATGACTGCTGCAAATACCTGTTGTCAATTTGCAGGCATAACGGATAGGAATTCATTACCATTTGCCTTGCTTGGCAAAGGCTGTTTGTGCAGAACTGTACTGGGAAGCCAGGCTTTATCAGAAACTAGATTTCAGAGCTACATGCCAACAAATAAGAATGACCTTTTCGTACTTCTTTGGACAATGCCATTATCATAAAACCCCAGCATGACTGAGAATTGGCTGGGCTTCTGGCAAAGCCTTGAATGTCTGTATTAATGTGCTGGTTTTCCTCACAGGCCTCCAGCAGATCTTCCATAGTACTTCTTGCATGACAAGTTACTGAGTTCTTGGGTTTAGCTGTAGATGTATACACATTTGGAGAACATTTAATTAAAAAAATACAGTAATTCTGGTTTTATCAAGTGGCTCCAGCCACGGTTTCTAAACCGTGACTTTCAGTTTGAGATTTCTTAAGCACCTGAAGAGTTTTGAAAATGGGTTTTGAAGGTGGGGTTTATGCTTTGACAATACCCAGATGCTTTGGAGCATAGCACCCTTTGTCTGAGGGGGCGCGTGTCCTTCGTCCAGCAGGACCGACTCGCAGGAAAACTCTGTGTCCAAAGGGTGTAAGTTATTCCAGAAAAGCATCTTATTGGTTTGAAGAATTACGAATCCCTATTTATTTATTTATTCATAGGATGAAAATCAGTTTCTGCTGTGGGTGACAGCAGAATAGAAGCCCATACTGAAAACACCAGGAAAAGAATGGCTAGCATTAAAGAGACTGAATTCCCTTTAGTGCTTTCGTACAGCAGAGCTGCAGCTATTTAGCTATATGGCAGGATACCAAACAACATTGTGGCTGGCCATTGTTGCTTGAACAGTTTGATTTTTAAAACATTCAACTGAAATATAACCAGCAGCCAAGTTGGAAGAAGCAAGTCACAAGGACAGAGTGTTAAATGAAGAGTCAGCAAATGAGGGAAACAAGTTCTCCTGTCCTGCTGGAAAGCGGCTGTACTACAGAGCCGGAGCCCGAGAGCAAGCGGTACCTCAGCCTAGCACAGCTAGCGGGTTGCTTTCAAGAAAATTTTACAGTATAGAAGTAATATGGCTTTAAAAAGAATGAGATAGTGCCACAGCTATAAAATAAAATCACTGATTTCTCTGCGGTAGGCCTCGGCAGGGCCATGGATCCCATCCCTTTTCGCTCAGCACTGGTCCTCACATCATAAAGCAGAACCTTCTCCTCCAGAGACATTCCAGTGTTAAGCATTTCAGGAGATGGGAAAAGGGTTGATGGAGCGGGGTGGAGGAGGAGAGAACAAAGTGACCGTAGCTGTCATAATAAAAACCATCCCAGCACGCATTGGCCTTTGTTGCTGATACCGATCTGACTCATCAAACTGTTTGACGTGATTCTTGATAACGTGTTTTTTAGAAGGCACCGTTCTTGTTGGGGTTTTAACTGTGCGTGTTTAAATGATGCTGTGAGTTAAATGGATTGGAGCATGGTGTGTGGGAGCAGCGGAGAGGAGAAGGGTGTGTGGTCCCTAATGACGCCAAGTGAAAAACAGAGACACACCTGCTTTGGGATATAATGGGAGCGATAAGAGTAATTTCTTAACGATGGGGTTTTTTTGGGAGTGCGAGGGGAAGGGCTGGTTTAAGGAATGTAGGGGGGCAACCAGGACTTCTATCTCGCTGTGCTGGGGACTCTTTGTTTTAAATGGGAGTGTTTGGTACATCTGGGCTGAACTGATATTGGTTCTTGCATGCCGCCCCCCTGCTCAGTGTTTTGCTTTGCACTGTTTTATCTGCCAAAAAGAAAATGAATTCACAAAATATTTGCAAAGTTGCATGGCCACAGGCTTAAATACATACATATGAAATCCCTGAAAGCAATTTGCTTCAAGCCCTCCTCAGTTCCAGACATCTTTCTCACTCCATCTGCTCGTTCGAGTACACAAGTTCCTTGGGAAAAATCACTTATTACATCACTGAAAAATGCCACAAAAATAGCTTTTCACTTAAGTTCCCATCCTCGGAGTTAACTCACATGGGGATCAGATAGATTCAAACATTTAATAACTTTTTATTTTCCTTTCTCTTTAAACACAGGATCTCTGGTCATGGAAGCAGGGTCACGTGGTGGATTCTTGGCAGTCAGCAGTCTGTGGAGCTTTTGCAGGTGCAAAGGATTATATGTTATACTGGGAAAGACTAAAGAAGAAAGGGAAAAATGTGCAAATCTATTAAGTATAGCAGAACAACATTCCTTTGTAATTCAAGTTTGTTTAGAAGAAAACGGATCCAGTTGTTGTCTGGAAATAGGAAAGTCAGCAAAGAAAAGAGAAGGAAAAAAAAAAGACTCAAACAGGGTGTCTGTTTGAAAGACAACCAATTTGTTTTTGACAAATTTCTGTTATTTAAAAACCAGGGGCCTGTCAGTCAGGCTTTGCGATTATTTCAAAGTTGATTTGTAAAATCCTCATCCAGGAGAAACTTTGCTTGGGTGGGGGTTTGTGCAGCTGTCTGCTCTGAGCACTTCCCCAGGGGTTGAAGTGATTGCAGCGAGAGGCCATGATTCACCATTCATGTGACAGCTCTGACAGCCATGTAGATTAACTAGAGTCAGGAGAGCAGAGGCTAGCGCTGCACAGCCCGGAGGCAAAAGCCTTCCGCAGCAAAAAAAAAAACCAGAGGACGAAACATCTGGGCAATCTCCAGACACTAGAACAAGAATAAAGAGTGGCAGAATACAATACTGCACTATTTATTACCAAACAAGCCAGAAGTTAATTGAATTCTTCAGTAGGCTTCTTGCTTGATTTTAGCCTACTGTAGTTGTTTCCAAAAAAAAGAAAGAGAGAAAAAAAAAAATCAATTAATGACTCATCAGTATAGCTGACAAGTTTGAGGGAGGAGAGACTCAACTGCCTTAATAGAAAAAACAGATTAGTAGTTAAGAGATGGATAGCCAGAGCCTTTCCCCAAGGAGCTAAAATATATTTTGAGATTCCAAACCAGTAACAGAATACGTGGAAAAAATAAATCCTGTTTAAAGAGAAATTATAGCATTTCTTGAAATAGAGATTATCAAAAGCAAAGCTTGTTCTTTGATGACTTACAGAATCAGAGCCATTACATCGTATGTAGTTTTTTTAAAATAAGCTCTGTTAGGGGAATTGAAGTATTAATAGCAGAATTCCAGCAGAGACTGATGCTTCGTTTGGATGGGCGCTGTAAGTGCACGACTGAGAGAGGGTGCGTGGCTGCCACTGCACCCAGTTTAGTAGATTGGGCATGTGAGCTGTGAGGGAATGGTTTGGGTAGAATTGATTCCATTTTGGGGCAAAGGGGATATTTTAGATGATCTCTTGTGGTCTTGTCCAGCTGTATTTTCTATGTTTATGTGATGGGAAGGGAGTTTTATTCTGCTTAAAATTTGGTCTACTGTTGGATTTTACACTGGCTTCATCAAATCAGTGCAAACAAAGTCAGAGCGATTGAAGCAGATCGTTCATTTTTGGTTTGAAGCAAAACAAGCTATCAGACTAAAAATGCGTTAAAATGCAATCTGTACGTCTGCAGGTGTGATAGGGGATCATTAATTTAGCTCTGTTGATTTCTTTACAGTAAGATTGATACAAAAACTGTGTTCAGGCATGTTCAGAGAGCTGGAAAGGTTATCTGATTTACCCAAGGCCTTGCGGAGTAATTTCCTGAAGTCCAATTCGGTGCCTCAATTGGAAATTTAGCCCAGTGCCTCCATTTCCTTCTCTGTATGTCTTGATTGTGACCAGTTGTGCTTGGACTTCCTTCCTTTGATGGCTATTCAGTAGCGTCCGCTCGCTTTCTAGCAGAAACGTCGCAGAAGGAGCTTCCAGAGGCACGGTCGTGCATGAACGCTTGGCTGCCCTTTGGCAGGCGCTGGGGAGACCTAACGCTTTGTGCGGAAGGAGGCACCGGGTCCTCTCTGGAGCAGCACAGAGACTTCCAGGTTCATGGTGGCAGTAGATGAGGCAGTTCAGCCTGGCTGTCTTCATAGGCTCTATTCCCCAAGTATGAATCTTTGCAGAGCTGGAGTGCTATTTTGTAGATCGTGGTGTAATTGGTGACAATACATATTCTCTGGGTTATCCTTCCAGTTTCCCTTCTTCCAGCTTCACTTCCTCCAGCCTGGTTTTCCTTCCTTGTTCTTTCTTTCCCCATTCTTTCCTTTTCACCAGCAGTATTTTAACCTTCCTCTCACATCTCCTTTGAGGACCTGCTTCAAAACTCATGAGGTTCAACCTTTTTTGGATCAGAACTTTCCCCTTCCATCTCCATTGCCTCCCTCTGCAGACATGTAACAGGGAGGCCCTGTATTGATCTAATCTGCTACTTCATCCATTCTGTTCAGTGAAAATGTTTAGCCTTCTTGCTGAATGGAGGCAGCGGAAAAATAATTTCCTGCTTTCTGAAGAATGGATTCCATGGTTAAAAATTATTAACTACCTACATATAGGTTCAAATGAGGGAAGAAAAAACAGACCAAAGTTCGTATCCCTTTCTTTCCACCCCAAAACAAAAAAATCAAAACCTTACCAGTACCCTGTGGATAAAATAAGATGGATGTGTGTATCCAAGTGATTTAAAATCATCATGTTATAAACCTTAAAAGGAGAAGATTATCCAAAAAACAATCTTTAAACACAGAGATGCTATCAAATGCCACCATGGTAGTAGTGGGATGGCGAAATCACACAGATAGGCTTTTCTCCTGTGTTCTTTTCTTGAATTCAATACTTTCTAAAAATGTTAGAGGTCCTGAGGGGCAGGGTAATAAGCTGAAACAAACTGAAAGAAAAGTCCTGTTTGGCTTCCCTTTATGGCACACACATAGCGTGTGTGTCTGCATGCGTTGGTTAGTTCCTAGGTAAATCATAACCGATTATTTGGCGAAGACAGAACAAAGAGCAACAATATATTGAATTCCATCCCCAGTGCCTGTGAAATGGCAGTGATTTCAGCCAAAGTGCTGCGAGAGGCCCAACTCTTCCTTGTTGAGCACACATGTGTAAGATGTATGTATGCGATCCGTGGGCTTTTTATAGAAACATAATAGGCATGAGCATAAATATCACAGATTTGGAATCCTCTCTGTGTCATCTGCTAATAATTTAATCCCTGGAGGCCTTGTCCAGCTTTATCATCATCTCTGGGGTCTTAACTAGAGGAGATGTTTGGAGCAGTCGGGGACTGAGAGAAGGTGATATCTGAGCTGCTGGTGGGGAGGAACCCAAGGGTAGATCTACATGATATTTTAAGCCTGAGGTTGCATTTGAACCAAACCTTGCCTTATGCCTGAGCTGTTTGGACACCGGCCCAGATTTGGGCACAGGCTTTGGCAGGCTGGAGGCAGAGGAGGGAATTATGTCCCCATGCTGTGGGCAGGCCAGGCATGACTGTGGTTGCACCCCACGCTCAAGTCTTCTCTGGGCTTAGTCTGCCTGGCTGGACCACTGCACCCCAGCCCTGCACCGCACTAGGGCAGGCTGTCCCAGAAGAGCCTCTGGGTCGTTCTGCCCCTCTGCTCTGCTCTGGTGAGACCTCACCTGGAGCCCTGCGTCCAGCTCTGGGGCCCTCAGCACCAGAAGGACATGGACCTGTTGGAGCGGGTCCGGAGGAGGCCACGAAAATGCCCCGAGGGCTGGAGCCCCTCTGCTGCGGGGCCAGGCTGGGGGGGGCGGCTGCTGCGGGGCCAGGCTGGGGGAGCTGAGGGTGCTCAGCCTGGAGAGGAGAAGGCTGCGGGGAGACCTCAGTGCGGCCTTGCAGTGCTGGAAGGGGGCCAATAGGAAGGATGGGGAGAATCTTTTTAGCAAGGCCTGTTGTGACAGGACAAGGAATAATGGATTTTAACTAAAGAAGAATAGATTTAGACTGGATATAAGGAAGAATTTTTTTACAATGAGGGTGGTGAAGCACTGGAAGGGGTTGCCCAGAGAGGCAGTGGAGGCCCCATCCCTGGCAACATCCCAGGCCAGGTTGGACGGGGCTCTGAGCAGATCTGAACCTGATCTGGTTAAAGTTGTCCCTGCTCACTGCAGGGGTTGGGCTGGATGATCTCTAAAGGTCCCTTCCAATCCAAAGCATTCTGTGATTCTATGGTTTTCGTATGCCCTCCATGGAATTGGGCCAGTGGCAAGGAAATCCTGCCCTTAGGCATTGGCTGTTGGGAAAGCAAAGTGCTGCCCTGGAGCAGCGAGGTAGCTCCAGCTTGTCAAAGAACCTGAGTGTCCATTTAATGTGATTGAAAATTGCCTCTGTTAAAGACACCTTCTTTCTCCCTACCGTAAAAAAAGTGTGGCTTAACATTAATAATTAATGCTCTGTGGTGACAAAGTCACGGAGAATGGAGGTGCAGGCCTAGTGAATAATAAAGCACTAACGAGAGCTTTTTGCACATTAACAGGGAAGACTTCCCATCACTTTTGTTTTGATCTAATCAGCTCTGACAAGATTACACACTGCGTCTAAAAGCCTCTTTAACTCTATAGCTCTGAATAAGTAGTTCTTGAGTAGTTGTCAAGAATTCCCTGCAGTGTCTGCTTGGACCATGCTTCTAACCCTGAATGGGTGAAATCGCTGGAGGAGCAGTGCTTTGCCTCTTGGTATTTCTGCTGAAATCTGAAGACATTCTTGGGTCACTTTGCTCTACCATTGGCAGGTGGTGGTCCCACAGTGATAAAGGACCAGAATAAACTTCCTCTTAAACAAATTTAACATAATATCAATAAAATAAAAGTTCAAATGGGAACTGATTGATTGAAGAGTTCTGAAAAAGACCGTTTGTGAACTTGGAAATCGGTCAGCGTAAGAGGATGCTGTGAGGTTTCATGTTGGACCTGTGCGACTCAGTTTTGCAACCTGGATTTGGGATTCAGTCCTGAATCAGTCCTGGGTAACCTTTGGATGTCAGTACAGAAAACAGTAATGAAGACAGGCAATGATACAGCTCCACCTGGAATTTTTCCTTTTCCTAAGGTGGGCTAATTCAAACAAGGACGTTAGTCAAGCACAAGTTCCAATCTCTTGAAACAAGCTTGACCAACCAAACTGGGCTAGTGTTGCAGAAGAGACTGCCAGGGGTGTGGCCAGATGACAGAAACACAGAATCAGGAGGAGCCCCTGTGATGGCCAGAAGGGTTCTCTGGACCCTTTAGAAAGGGTGAGGTGAAGTTAAAATGGTACAGGAAAAAAAAGATACGGGGACTGAAGAAGAACTTGTCTTCCTCCCTTCATAGGATCTTATTTGAAGACTGTGTCAAGGAACCCATGAAACATTTTCCTATAGCAGCAGCAGCAAACTCTGCAGGCAGCCACCTTACTGCAAGGACCTAGGGTTATGCGTGGTTCTCAGGTGAAGTATTTCACTCTGTTCTGATGCTTCTCAATTTTTATTTGCATATGACAGCTAAAAAGGGTAGGAAATGCTAGCAGGAACCTAGGGAAGTATCTTAAGTCATCAAGAATTTTTATTCTTATTGCCAAATAAAGGTAAATAATTTTCTGCTGCTGTCTGTCACTAGTGCTTCCATCAAGAACTGGTCACTGGGAAAGTGTGAGTAGCAGAGGGATTTTCTGTTTAACACCCTGAGCTTGGGAAAGTTTAGCTGCTCAGCTGACGTGTGAATATACAGTGTCCATTGTAACTTCTTGGGAGACAGGTGATGAATTTTCCACTGCTGCATGAAGTTTTATTTTCCCAGTAGAGGAGTTTGTCACTCTGCTAGAAGTATTAACAAGCCAAGAGCCTTCTCCCACATGAAAATCCATCTTTATGCCTACTTGCTGAGCCCAAGTCATCACCAGATCCTTCTAGGGCAAGGGAGAAAGGGGCCTTCTCCAGGAGTGAGTTGGTGAGTCTGTCTGTCTGGGCGCAGATTGCCTGCAAAGGTGCCGCCTTCTCTGTCAGCTCTGCAGAGAAGCCGGAATGATTAGGAGTCTAAGGCTGGATGTGTCTGGGCCTTTCTTGCCCACCTGGTACTTTGATACCTGCTTTTCCTGGTTGATGAGTAGTTGAGCAGACTCCAGCCTTATGGGGCAGCTCTCGGAGAATTCAGTGACAGCAGGAACAGACTAAAGGAGTGATGTAGAGATCTGTTGGGCCTTACTGTGTAGTAGACAGTGCAGTGCACAGCCCTCCTAATTTGAAAGAGTAGACTCTGGCTGTACTGGTTTCTATCGTTGTATTAATCTGATGATTGGAAACAGTCATGTTTTAAGTTCCTTTACCCAGCTAGAGTAGGTGGGACTGAGCAGTACTTTGCTAGCGCTGTAGCCTGTTCTTGGATACCTGTGTACTAACCTTGAAGAGGCCACTCTAAAATTACCTTGGACATTTAGAGTTAAGGCTGGAGCAAATTCATTTTGTCAGACTCTCTGCCTTCAATAAAACGCAGTTCCCAACAAATGCTAGCTTTAATCTCGTGTTTTCGTCAAGCATATACAAACTTGCGTTTAATTTAGCCACTATCCTACTGCTTGTTGTGCTTATGAAGCAATTTATTGTTGCTGTTGTCATTCTAAATTGATTGGTAAATCTGTACCAAGTACTTCCCAGTGATGGAAAAAGAAACATTGAAATGTTAATAACAAAAGAGTCTGAAAGATCCAGATGTTAGCTGGGGAAAAAATGAAAACCAATCAGCCTTGATTAAACTTTTTGGATAAGAATTTGGGAACATCATATCAGGATAAATTGTGTTTGTTCTAATCACTCTATCAGCCAGGACTGAAGCTTCTGCCAATAAGAAACTGTTAGGAACAAATGCATAAAAAAATTACTGGGATCTGATAAGGGAATTAAGTTAGTCTGACTGAAGTGTTACTGTCAACTCTATAGCTGAGTAATGCATTGAGGTTTTTTTGCTTGATGCAGGCCTGACAGCCATGTGGTTCACTGTTTAATTTTATCTTGGTCTGTGGGCAAAGGAAGGGCTTCTACACCCAGACTTGTAAAGCCGCTCTTTTCCATGGAGATTATTTTTACTGTTCTAAAAATACATCGCTGACATGAGTACCAGAGTTTCTATCCAGACCATTCTCTCAAAGCCTTTGGGTCACTTACTCAAAAACTGGCTCACAATAAAAAGATTTTTGACCTTAAAGAAGGTCCAAGAGTGGGCTGGAATTTAGTTTAACTTGTCATAGTTTCTGCTTTGGTTTCTTGAATACAACCCATTTTTCTGCTTTTTAGTGAGGTATCACTGCTAGAAAGCTTCCGGCAGAGCGAACCGGATGGGCCAACCTTATGTGAGCAGAAGCTGCTCCTAAACCAGGCGTTTTGGGCTGTTGGCTAACTCGGCTCGCCTGCTATTCTTGTTTGAGATCCAGGGGACTGCACTTGTGCCTTACTGCATCTCCTGAACTGTCATGGGACATTCCTTAATTAACTGTAAGAAGTCAACGTAGGTTGCCAGCTGGCCCCGTCTCCTTTCTGACATAAAGCAGGGTTTTAATACGTTAAAGCTAAGGTGGTTGAGAGAGAGAGATGCAGGTAAAAACACGAGCCAGTGGGGAAGATGGATTTTTTTCATTACTTCACAGATTTTAGAAGAAATGCTTTTCCCCTCTCCCATCCCAAGAAGAGAGAGATCAATTTTTCTACATTCCATAAAACTTGGCACAGAAAATAGATTATTTTTAGCTTATTCCCTGGCTAGTACTGTGTAGGCTTCAGTCTTTGGAGTCACTTTGTTCCCTGCTGTAGTAGATACAGGATTTCTACAAACTCCAGAGGAAAAAAAAAAAGGAGGAAGAAGAAAGATTCAGAACAAGTCTCTCTCTTTTCTTCCCCCTGCCTTCTTCCCCCTTCTTTCTTCACTTACTGCTGGGCTGCTCCTGCATTTTAAGTTTCCTTCACTTTGGCTCTTCCTCAGCATGAATTACTTGCTTGAAATACTGCAAATAGAGGAGGGAGAGAGAGATTAAAGTTAATTTTAGGATGGGGAAATAAGGCAAAGGGAATAAGATCCTGGGAGAAAAAGCAGCAAAGCTGGTCCCTAGATAGCACAAGAGGCCAAGCTGTAGCCACAGGGTTAAAATATGGAGACAGACACGCACACGTTTGTGGGTGAGACATGCAGATGGATAAGCTGAAGATTTCTGGCTTTCACGAGGAAAGCCACAGCTGAGCTGGCTGCTCCAAGTGAAAGTAATGAGCTCCAAGGGTGACATTTGGGAGTGATTAGAGAGAATAAAAATGCCCCTGAGGGGAAGATGGCACTTGTGGCAGCAGACTTCTGACAATTTCCAAAGACCCTTGGGCAGCTTCACATTGTTGTTATCCAAAGTGGAGCTGATTTCATTCACTGGAGGTGAGCTCCATCCCAAACACTGGGATTTTTCCTTGAAACAGAGTCCCAGGTTGATCTAATAGTTGAAGTCCAGTTCCAGTCTGTCTGTATCTTGTGGATAGCTTTGCCCCTGAAGCACATGTGTTTGAGATACAGAGCATCTTCCCTCTCTTTCTATCTTTCTAGCATTTGAATGGTCAGACTTTAATTCTCAAGGCAGAGCACAGTGTGACAAGCTTAATTTCCAATCTCTGCAAATGAGTTAAGCAGGTTCTTCCTTTCAGACTTGTCCATAGGTGTCAGAAGTGGAATCCATTATCCTTACGACCTTCATATGTTCATATATGTAGGGAGTCCAAAAGAAAAGGACAGTAATCTCAATGGGGATGTTTGGATTTACAGTTAACTAACTAGCATAGAGCTGTTTTCCTTAAGTCAACACACAGGAATAAAACACTCTGTGTACAGACCTTCACAAACGTATCTGGACTCTGACACAAGGAAATGTGCTGTAGGCAGTAATAATGGAGCAGTGTTGACCACAGCCATGGGAATTATAGGCAGTGTGGCATTCATATTCAACCAACAATGTCTCACTTGTGTTTGGTATTTTAATTTGCTCAGGTGGATTTGCAGCTGCAGTCACCACACCTCTCGATGTAGCAAAGACGAGAATTATGTTGGCAAAGGTAAGAGCGAAGGAGGCCAGCAGACATGCAGGTGAATGGCTTGGGTAGTTCCAGAGTTTCTGTATGGTCATTACAGAATGAAATCCAGCACATCTTAATAATGATTTCTGCTCTTGGCCTCCAAGGCAGGGTTAGATATGAACAGGTACTGCAGACCTAATGAAATTGTTGTGTTCCTTTCCTTGTATTGCTCTTCTGGTCCTTTCCCAAAGGGGCTGAGAAGGGCCTGCGCTTGTGCTAGACTTCCACAGCCTCATGCAGTGTCTTTAGGAGAAAATCCTCACAGAGTCAGATGCCCAAAGTTAAACTTCCCATTAGGGATTTATCCCTCTGTTTTTTTGATAATGATTGGGCTTGAGTGTGCGTGCATGTCTTTTCTGAGGAGCGCTTGGCACTGGATTTTCTGTCCTAAAATTTTAAGGCACAGAGATCATGATGGCTTACATCTGCCAACCAGGACAGAAGGAAGATTGCTTATAAGATCAGTAAGTTTAGTAAGTAGTTAAATTGCTAGTAAGTCTAGTCTTCCTGTCATCATCTCACTGACCCCAGAGGAGAGATAAGCAGCCACATACTGAAAGCCCTCGGCCTTTCCCTGCCCTGAAAAGAGCTGTTGTGCTGGCAAAGGTCAGGCCTCCTGGAGCTTCTGTGGATGGCTTTTACCCTATTCCTCAGTCCGGGGAGGTTTCTTGTCGATGACATGTACCTCCCCAGCCGAGTCACGCACGTCTGCCCTCACCATGCTGCTATGCTGTGTGTATCTCATTGCTGGGTGTAGTACCTGCTGCAGCTTCTTTGCTTTTGGATAGTGTGGGTGATAAAAGCATAAGAACTGGGTTTCATTGCTGTCTGCTGCTGCGCTGAGCAGCCAGGTCAGCGTTGGTAAGGGAATGAGGGTGCTTTGGGATGTTCTGAGACCATTCAGACAGCATCTTCATATTAGTCATCTCTCACTAACTAGATCATACATATAATTTAATTGTCTGTAGTCCTGCTGTTTGTCCTCTGTTTTGCTCTCAAGGCTGTTTTCACATGCAATACGCTACTCGTGTTTTTTTTAAGTAAATCTCAAGTAAATCCTCTTGCAGTGAGTAGCAAAGTTGCTTGTTGGTGCTTTGAGAGTGTGTTTTCATTAAATTTTCACTCCAGTACCAGCTGCTGGATGTAGAGCTGAGTGTAGTGCAGAAAGGACTGGATACCCAGTTCTGAACTAACCAGCTCTGTGACCTTGGAGTGATCGTTTTGTTCTTCTGTGCCTCGGTTTCCCTTTCTGCCCTTTGCCTTACTCCTGGAGACGAGGAGCTTTTGCCTGTGCCTGGGGTAAGGAGTCATTAGGATGTCTGTAATTGCTGTAAAGTAGCACTAAGCAGGGACAGGGAGCTCAGTAAATAATTAAACCTCTGCCAACAGTTTCCAATCTCTCTCTTTCTGTGGTGCAGGCTGGTTCCAGCAACGCTAGCGGGAATGTTCTGGCTGCCCTCGGTGGCATCTGGAGGACACAAGGCCTGGCGGGGTAAGGACATGCTGCAGAAGCCCATTTCATGTGTTGTTTCTCTGTCTGTGTTGGGGGGCGGGAGAGGACGGGACGGTCTGCTTGTATTTAAATCCTGTCATACAGAAAAGGCTTTTATTCTGTACACGTGGCCAGGGAGCAGCTCTCAGGTAGCTAGGAACAAGAAGGTCCCTCCAGGGAGATCCTAGTGTCCTTGCTTTAGCGCTGGCTGCGAGCAACATCCAGGGAAGAGCACAGAAATGGGGCATTCTTGGGGATTTATCCATGGTACAATCTCTAAGCGTAGCTCCAGGCTTCGGAGGCAACGGTGGCTTTGTTTAATGGACTTTTCTCTGTGAATGTGCGCATTTGTGTTTTGTATCCGTTTAAGCTTTGGGCATGCACGTCGTCTTGTGGCAGTGAGTTCCACAGATGGATCTTGAGCTGCATGAATCGCCCGTCCTGAGACGTCAGGGAAGGCCAACATAGGAGCCACGTGTCCCTTATGGACAGTCTTTCCCTCCTCCTGGCAATTTCTTACTGATTTGAAAGCATGGGCAAGGTCTCCTCCGTTCCTTTATATTCGCTGTTCTTACTGTGAAGCGTGATGGGAGCACGCGATGCCAGCGTGGTGCCGGCAGCAGGGACAAGCTGAAGCAGAAGGAAGGGAGCCATGTTCTCCCTGACTTGTCCTTTGAGCCTCCTGTCAGGTCTGGGCTTGGGCACACGCCCGCTTGGATTTCTCCAGCGAGGCACTTGTAAAAATGTAAGTTTTCTGAGACAGGCTTGAGTGCAAAGAGTAAGTCTGAGCAGCCGCAGAGCAGCTCTCTGGCTGCTTTCCGCCTGTGACCGGGGTGTAGGCACGTTCTGGGCTTTCTGCTGACTGGTTGGGGAAGTCTGGGGTGATGTCGATCCAGCCTCTTAGCTGCCTTGCTTTACCCGTTCCCGAGATGGAGAATTCCTCTTCTGACCTTGGAGTGGTGTTGTGAACGAAAAGTCCTCTGCTAGCATTTTTAGAACATTCTGAGGTGTCACAAGCTTATGAATTGTTATCGATTTTTACAGACACCTGCTTAATTTACGCTACCTTGTCCTCTTTGAGTGCGTGACTCATACCAGTTATAGGCCACTCGTAGTGAATATATGGCTTAAATAACTCCTTTGGTCCATGAGGTTCAGCGTGTGCTTCCTTCGGTAGGGTTTGTGTCCCACCTGCCCTTGGCCTGGAAGAGAAATGGAGGGTTTTTTAAGCTTTACTTGGAGCTTTTCACTGTAATTTCTCATGGGTTTTTAAGCCGCTTGATGTGGCCGATACTTTCAGGGTGATGTTTTAACATTTGTAAACTGTTGCTCAAAGCAGCATGCACATCGCAGCTTTGCGGGAGATAGTTTTCTCTTAACATCTGATCTCTGCTTGCACAACTAATAAAAGTTCAGTCCTCTTTCTACACATGTGGGAAATAATTCAAAACAAATTGCAGGAAGTTCCTGAACACCGATTCCAGGAAGACGTCCAGCTGTGCCCCCCGGCAGTGCTCGGAGATGGGTTGTCTCAGGTTTGCTCTTTGAGGTGATGAGGTGATGCGGCCATGGATGAGTTTTGGGTCCTACACGGCTCGCTGGACTCTAGGGCGTGTTTTGAAAGGGACGGGGAGAAGCGAGGCCACGTCCGCTGCTGATGGCAGTTGAACTCTGAAGGGCGTGAAGAGGCCTGGATTTGGCTGGGGAAACCTCCCCTTTTCCCCAACCCAACAGCAGAAAATAAAAATGTATGTTCGTGTTCTTTTCAGGGTGTTTCAGCAGTGCCCTTTTCTAAACAACCCAAAATTAAACTCTGCCTAAAGATAGTACCCGAGGCCTAGGACCAAAGGGAACACAATTCAACTGAAATCAAAACAATAAGCAATCTGGAGAAAAAGTAACATGTAAAGGAGGCCAAGCTGCGTCAGCTGCAAGGAAAAGGAAGAAAGTCTTGGGAAAAATAAACGCAGAGGCTGCCATGCCTGCTGCCAATTATAAAACTATTAATCAAAAACAATAAAAATGTCGGGCTTTTTTGGCCAGTTGCAACATGAAATGATTTATGGCTCCTCTAATAAATCTCGTAGTTGAAGAGGAGGAATTCTGAGGGCAGAAAGACGCATTGCTTATTGCCACCTTATTAAAACCAGAGCGCAGGGCTCAGCTTCCTGGTCTGCACCTAGTAAATCCCTCTGCTTCATGCCAAGAAATTCCACATCCCTTTCTGTCCGGGGAGAGCCAGGCCTGCAGCAGGAGGCAGGATAGGGATGGGGTGATCAGATCTGCGTGCCTCTTTGCTCTTGCCAGCAGCGTAGACGAGCCGTTCACGTGAAAGCAGGTTTGCATCTTGTCCAGCTGCTTTTCACGCAAGGAGGTGGTGGCGTTCGAAAGCCGTGGATGAAACTTCACAACTCGCCGGTGAGAAAGACGAGGGTGATTTGACCGATAAATCTGGTGAGATGGCTTGTCCCAGCTTGCGTGTGGATGGGGACGGAGCTGGCGGTTTCCCCCAGGTGTGCCGTTCCTCAGCCGAGCTTCCCGGTGGGAGCGGGCACGGCAGGGCAGGCACAAACCGCACCGCTCTCCGGAGCCACATCTCGCCAGTGCGAGTGGCAAAAGCAGCCCCGGCGCCCAGGGCTTGCTGCTTTGCGAAATGCAAGGTGCTCGCAGGAGCAAGCACAGTGCAAAGCTGGAGTCAGATAAAAGCAGTGGTTTTTCTCAGCATGACCACCTCTTTGGTCCGGAGCGTAATATGGAGGTTTTGTGGCCATTTTTCAGCGCTGGCCCCTCTATGCCGTGTCCAGGCCCTGCAGTGCCTTTTCCAAAGGGTAACTTCAGGGGTTCTGGTCAGTCTCTGTTGAGAAAGAATTTGTTTTGGGTTGCCAAGTAGTGGCCCAAAAATGTCACCTTTGCTGCTGGAACTGTGGGACTGGGTGTATTGCTGGGCCGGGAACCCCGAAATGGAGAGCTGCACCCCGGGGGCATGCACACGGTTCGGGGGGCACACGGTGCGGGGTTAACACCTGCAGCCAGGCCTCACCCGGGGATTGCAATGTGATTCCCGGATTTGTGACTCGTTCCTCGCATGGCTGGGGAGGTCGCGATGTGTCTGTACCCGAAAGCCTGCGTTTGGCCTTTGCCAGCATTTATCGCGGCTGCCGGTGATGAGAAGGTGGGGGTGAACCCCCCAGCCCTTGCTGCTGGATCCGAGCGGTAACTGGGAGAGTTGCTTAAGGAAAAGCCAAAACCCAGGCAGGGAGACAGGAGTGGCAGGGTGCCGCGTGAAATCTGTACAGGCAGATAGCAAATCCAAACAGGCAGCAGACCTGTGCCCACCAGAGGAGTTTCTGATGGGGCCAGCAGAAAAAAAAAAAAAAAAAAAAAAAAAAAAAAAACATCCTGGACCCTCGGGGGGACCAGCTGGGATCAGGTCTGCAGCGGGGCTCAGCTCTCCGGATTCGGGGCAGCCCCAGAGCCGTTCAGTTCTCCCTTCCCGGAGAAGTGAGCGCGGGGGGGAAGCGTGGGTGGGAGAGGCCATGGGGGGCCGGGGGAGCAGGGCCAGGGTTCTTGGAAGTGATGGTTAGTAATGGAGGTTGCCAGGGATGCAGCTTCTGGGTAACTCGGTTATCTGCCCTCGTTTGTGTAATAGCTGTGTCTCAAGTGGGCTGTTCTGTAAATGAATGTCTGCCACTGCTCCTGTAATGAGGGCTGCCTGATTCGGCAGGGGAAGGGTGGGGGGGGGTTCGAGGGCGCACCC